ATAGTGAAATTTCAAGCATTAAGAGTGGTTATTCTTCACCTTTTGTACCTACATCATCAAAGATTACAGATTCTGATAGTTATACTACGGATACTAATTCCACTGTTCATCAACTGCAGTGCCTCAAAAATACCCTACATTTAATTAAAAAAAAACCATTAATGTATGTTGGTATTACTGAACATTGTTATTTTATTATTCAGTTAATGCACAAACACACAAATATAAAAGTAGAACACATTTTGCTATGCTTGAAAAAAATTAGACTAAATAGCACATTTTCTGAATTAGAGGATAATTTTGGAATGTCACTATCATATGCCAGTAAAATATTTTTAAATAACATACCCATATTGAGTAGCTTTTTGAGACCATTTATTGTAAATTTAAACAGTAACTTAACAAAGAGAAATCTTCCAATACCATTTAGACATAACTATCACAATGTCAGCTGCATTATTGATTGTCTTGAAATTGATATACAAAAACCATCTAAGGCTCTACACCAGGCTCTGACATGGTCAGAGTACAAGAAGGGAAATACTGTGAAGTATTTAATATCCTGCACTCCTAATGGATTAGTCAACTATGTTTCTCAAGGCTTTGGGGGCAGAACGAGTGATGTTGTAATAGTAGAAAACACTGACTTTCTAGATAAATTACAACCTGGAACTTGCATCTTAGCGGACAGAGGCTTCAAACACCTAGAACAAATACTTCATAGTAAAGGCATTAAACTATTACGGCCGCCTAGTGTAAGTGCTGGTGTAAAGTTATCCAAATCTGAAGTCCGACAAACTAAAATAATTGCAAGCCTGCGAATTCATGTGGAAAGAGTAATAAGGCGCTTGAGAGAATTCCACATGCTAAAACAACATACAGTGATAAACACCAACATACTTCGTATAATTGACCATATAATTATTATTGCATGTGCTTTAATAAATTTGCAAGACTCTCTTATTAAGTAATGTTTTGTATATTAATATTATATCTTCCTAGAAATACTAAGTAAAGAAAAAATTAAGAAAGAATATCTTACTAAATGTGGCCTTTTGGCTCTGTCTACCTCTGATAAGGATGTGATGTATGAATGTTATCTTTAAGAAGGAAAGTTGTTTGTTTGCATTGAATAGGCTCCAAAACAACTAACCACAGCTCAAAGTGCTTGCCAAGACAATTAATCAAACAAGTCAAATCACAATCAGTGCATAGGTATTATTATATATTATTATGTACACATATTTAGTTAAATTAAATAAAAGTTAGTTAAATTCTTTCATCTTGGGATAGATATGTTACATAACACACTTTTCACTGAGAGCAATGAATGTAGCAAAAACTAAAGGCATGGGGACTTCTAGTGTAGTGTATGTATTTGTAAGTTTTATAAATAAATGTAAATACCTATTGAAAAATAAATAAAACAATGTGCACAGAAAACATTTTTATTTATTAATCTGTCACCCTAGTGCTACGGTACAAAACTGGATAAACATTATTTTTCCAAAAAGTAACCAGCTTTTGCAGTAAATTATGGGTATAAGCACTATCATAATGCACTAAAAGAATATCCACCTTTTGGTTCTCTTCAAATTTGCTATCTGCAACACAGAAATAGCATTTTTTCATGCTAGTTGCATGCATTTGTAATTGCACCTGTGCATTAAATTTTTCTGTAATTACTCCATTTTTTATATAGTTCTCTTTGGTTTTAGCCTGAGTAGGGCATTTTATTTCAATAACAGCATCCTTTGTTAGGCCATCAGGAGATGCTGCAATCATGGGACTCTCATTACATACGTAAAGTCCACATATACTTATTTTTTTGTTCAATATGGAAGCAACTTTCTTTCGGACTGCCTTTTCTAAAGTTCTTCCTCTTTTCATTGCTAGCGTATCTGGTATTTTTGCACCCATCACAGTAGCAATCAATGACCCTTCTGGTGTCCGGCAAACACTCACTTGATATGCTTTTGAAGCTGTGATACGGCCATAACGCATCTCATACCACAAACTGCTTTTATCTTGATTTCTCGTTGCTTCTTCTATGGCACTTATTTCAGCCTCTGTGATATTTGTCTTCATCACTTCAACAAATTTATCAACATCAGCACTAGTTTCCTCTGATTGATTCATCAAAAAACAGTGTAATGAATACTGCATGACATCTTTATGTTTAAAATCATTTTGATATTTAAGTAATTCACATTTGGTTATATTTCTAGATTTGGCCACAGAAATGAATTCATTATATAGTTCAGATGAACTTGGTCTATGAGGCACTGCTTTCTCACACATCTGCTCAACAGTGATATATTTCATAGTGGTCCCTACTCGCGATAGAATAGGTTTTTTCCAGTAGCATTCTACTGAAGTACATGCAGGTTCCTCAGTGCGACGATGGACCCACATCAGGAAAGCAACTGAATGCTTGCATCCCCCAGCTGAAGCAGCACAGTCAAGGCACTGGCAGCTAATGACTTCACTATCTTCTTCATTGATAATCATTGTTACATTATATGCCTTTGACCGAACTTTATGCTCTGGGCATATTTTGCATTTCATTGTGCAAACTCCTTGCTCCCGTTTGATTTGCACATAGCCAATGGCGTCGTCACCATAAGATTCCCTTGCAGACCTGTAAACAAAAGCAAAAACCACATAAGAGATGTGACTCTAAGTTCCTAACCTAAAAATTAAGGCTTATTAAAATCAATTAATACGGGAATAATATTATATAACGACATAAAGGTATTATAATGCAACAATAGCATTTATTATATATGAAAACAAATGATTAAAATATGCCGCGTGAATTTTTTTCTACAACATATAACATATAAGTTTACAAGGGTAAATAATATGTAAATAGATTCCACTTTGGTACTTACACTGCTGTTTTCACATTTTTTAGTTCAGATGAATAATAATCAGCGTTATTCTTAAAAAAAAGTGCAACCATTAAAGCGTCTATCCTGGGTAAGTTGCTGCTATCGGCTTGCACAAAATTTGCGTCCATTTTTAGTATGGTAAACTAATATTAATAACACTAGTTATAAACAATGTCCGTAGTAGCAAGTAGTAACAAGTAATTCTTCGAAAATAGTTTACAAATAGAAATTACAGCCAAAACACAGTAAACTCCAACGACAATCAATAGCGCAAAACACCTGTTCGCTGGCGTGTGACGTCACGAGTGTTACCACCAATCACAGAGCGTTTCGATTCACGTGAAATTATTTAAAAAAACTTCATTTTTATTTTGTGAAATATGTAAATAATATACATTATTTTGTTAAAATAAAGTAGAAGTGGTATTCTTTAGACTATTGTCTCGTAAAATATCTATATTTTGTAGAGTATTTTGAATGTTGTCAAACACCGTATGATACTAATTTAGTATAAACAGCTTGTGATTTCGTTTGTTTTAACACGCTCTTAATTGGGGCAATATGTTCTGTTTATTAATGTGTCATGTTATGATTATTATTGTATGTTGTCAGGCGCTGATAGTAGAGTAATTAGAATGGGAAATATATTTTTTATGTTTATTTATTCGAAGCAAATGACGAGACATACAACTTGGCAAAAAAAGCCACTTCAGACCATATCCCATGAATCACGATAACAATTATCCGAACATAGTACCTCCTCTTTTTAAACTGGATAAAAATATAAAATAACAAACCCGATTGAGCCGTAGTATACCAAATTGCCTCAGAGGTACGGTACTATTGACCTCAGTAATTCCTAATTCTTTTTGCCACGCTATACCCACATTTGTATATTCAAATGTTTGATGCCCACCTTTAATTCAGACCAAAATAATGCAGCATAAAATAAAACGCTCTCAACGGCTTCTGATTTCAAGAATTATACTAAAAATGAGGTTTTTCTTAGCAAATATTACATCTAAAGAATAACAACCCACTTACAAATGGATTCCCTGGAACTCTTTTGTCATCGTCGTCTCGTCAGAATGACTTAAAAGAAAGCATTTTATGTGAACCACTTCAGAAAAGCCACAAATGCTTTAGACAGCTCACTGTCTCTGTTTTTTAAATTCTAATTAAGTAATCTGACGTCACACAGTTCTCTGAAATAGTTAACATAGTTTTCGGATGGAAATTACTGAAATAGCTGTGTTTTGAAATACTTAAATAATCTTAGTCGAGTACTTTGTTCAAAGTTAGCAAACGTTTAATAAATAAGTATACGCATTATAACCAACTAGCTTTTACCCGCTGCTTCGCTCGCGTCACAAAAGGATAAAAAGTAGCCTACGTGACATATAACAATACACACAGCGCCATCTATACTAATACTTTTGTTTTTCATCGGGAATATCACTTTTTCTGCGGAACAAACAAACTCACTTTCCGATTTATAATATTAGTAAGGATTCATATCTACAAAGAGTATGTTAGGTCGTAACCGTCATCACCGTCGGGTTACAAAACCGTTTTCAGTTATCAATTTTAAGCCAAATATAGAGGTAAAAAAGTGACTGTTTCTTATCGAAAAGAGCCATCAAACCCAATTATAAGTCGTAAGCTGTAACTTTTTATTTGCGGAAACAGATTCAATAAGGCTCAATTTAATGGTCCACTTTGGTTAAACCAGCAATCAAATTAATTGTTTCTTTATCATTCTCAAATGAAGACATCAGGACTTTGTTTACCAAGGAATCAGGGATGGGAAGAGGTTTTATGGATTTTTACACCGTTTGTTATTGTAGCCCGCGGCCGTTTTGTTAGAGACGTTTAAAAAGCTGTTACTTTGTAAACAAACAAGCGCGCGTTAATTGTCAGACTCACTGCTTCTTTGGTAAACAAAGTTAAGAACTTTTTATGCCCAATTTTGTGAGCAAGATTTTTTTTTTTAACTAAAACGCCTTAAAATACAATAGCTATAGAAAATCTTGTGGACATCAGTTAAACCAGGTAAATAAATTTTGACCTTAGAATATTTACTTCAACTTGTCTTTTTTCTTTCAGACTATCTGGCGAAGTCAACACAAGCCCCTGCGAATCAGAATCAACATCAAATTCCCCACCATCGCTGCTGCAGGATGCGACATTGCCAGCTCTCTTAGTATCTGGGGCATCCACGTTGTTCCAGAACACAACCACGACCACCAACACAGCGCTGAGTTTATCAGCTGTTGACAGCTTATGTTTGCCTGGTACCTCAGAGGTTGAAAGCTGTAGTTTGGCGAACGGATGCTCAACGAGTTCATCGCTCGGGCTGGCATTGCCGTTGACGTCGACCGGAGGACTTTGTTCTACCTCCTCGTCGGCTGCGGTCGCCTGGTTGATGAATGAAGATAGTGCGGGTAGGTATTCTATCTAACAAAAAACAAATTATCATTATATAAATGGTTTCAAATTAATCACTAGTGAATTTTATGGCAGGTGGTGTAAAGAGCGAGGTCCGTAGCCCGGGCCTTTGCGAAGCAGACGTGGCGCTGTACGGCGAAACGCTGCCGTACGACCAGTCCACGCTGCCCTACCAGTATTATAATAGGTAAGGTCTACCAAAATCTTAGTTCCAAACTTTACAGTGTTTGCGAGTCAAGCGTAATAACATACTGCAATCGCAGTTCGCAGCAGGAGTAGGAACGTGATGGTTTATAGTCGGTTAGGTTAGAGTCTGACACTCTCTCTTGCCTAGCTCAGGATGGGAGGAGTCATTCGATAATATCCCCCTTAAAAAATGCAACATGAACAAACTCTCCAACTTTCATTGGTACCTACCTAATTAAAGCACGGTATGTCCATTATGCCCTGGAAGCTGGGAAGGTATTTGGCGCGAGACGCAATCTGCGTCGACACCCTTGCACCTTCTCATCTTCCAGTAACGGCGAGTTGTGCTGGTTCGGCTGCTGCCTCTGCAGAAAACCTCAAGCGGCGCAAGTATAATAACCTTGCTGTTATTTATATCATTGAGCCGTTTGGGGTTGATACGTTAGGTCCGTGGGATCGGATACATTATTCAAAAACATTTCGAAACGCCTGGTCGACGCATCTCGTCATCCAACGTGGCAATGCTGCCAGCCTTTTGGGTACTTTCCCTATTGACGTTGATGCGGACGAATTTTTCGATGCTCTGTGTAAATAGTCATTTTTAGTTTTTTTTATCCTTTTGTATCTTAACTCGTCGAGTACCGTCATTATAGACACAATTATAGAACAATAGGTTGCGGTCACCGGTGACCGCTTGGTGTTTGACAGTTTAAATTGTTATATATTTAATACGAAAGCACATGCATTTAATTAACAACTGAAGATTTCAAGTATGTTGTACCAGGTGAACACTGAACATAAATGAAAAGAAAACAATGAACCCTAATAATCGGTCACGATGACGGAACTATCGTACTTACATCCTAAATAACAAACGACGAACTACGAACTATACGGATTTAGGGAAGCTACAAAAGTGTCTGAATTTCATAAACTCCTCATAAGCGGTCGTTGACGTCCGTTTTTACGTAATTCTAATCTTGTTTCATTTTATTAATCAAAAGGAATTATTTTATTATTAGGAAGAAGTTACATAGCTAATTTATGAGCATAGGGCTTATCGTAGGTATTTTTTATTAAAACCTGAAGATTTAAGCTTAGCAAGTAATACCAATATACATAAATAAAAATGAATTTCCGTTCATTAGTCTCGATAAAATTCGAGAACGGCTGAACCGATATCTATGACTAATTTTAGTCTTGAAATGTTCATAATAAAGTTGAACTGAACTGAATTGAGAACAAATAAATTAGGCGTTCAGAATTTTGCTGAGTCAGCTAGTAATTAATAATTATGATGAAGGTAAATAGCAAATATTTAATTTGAATTCATCAATAATTTTATAGTAATATTTTCACCCATCACCCGTGGCCATCATTCGCCATTCGTCTGTATACGACATGGTAAAGCAGAATTTACGAACAGAGACTGGTTCCGCCATCTATCGTGTAGTAGCAGAACTAAACATATTAAGTAATTTTGATATAATCCGCTAGGGGCGTTGTTTAATAATATCATGATATCGTTCCGATTGGGCCAATTTTTATACACGATATTTATGTATTTTCTTTCTGTTTCATTACCTATTATTATAATGCTTTATTTAATTGGTATAGCATGCAGCAATATGGTAGTGGCAGCGCGGCCTCGTCGTACGTCAGCTCGTCGCTGTACAACCAGCCGTACGGCGCGTACCCACCACAACATAATACAACTAACAGGTATGTAAGAATACCAGATGGTTTTTTTCCAACAGGTCTATTGACTTTTAGAAATACCTACATAATATTTGTAAAAGCCTCAACTAGAAGAATAAAACTTAGCAAACTCTCTTCGAAAATTATGCACATTGGAATGCAATTAAACATTTTTCTAGTCGTCGACGACGCAATTTTGATACCTCTAGGGTGCAAGTTTAGTTACTGATACAGTATCTCCTTGGATTTGTTGTCAAAACCACGGAGCCTAGAAGTTACTGACACTTTCAACTCAATATTGATAGACTTATAGAAATCGGTTACCTTATACTAGAATTTGATCACTATAAATAACCAAGTTCACATCCTACATCAAAGATGCACCAGGCTCTCATAGGCATGAAGAGATTGTTCGTATCATTATACTTATTATCTTTCCCAGGTCATCATGCAAAGCAACGCCGACGTACTTGAGTGCTTACGGCGTGAGTGGAGTTAGTGGAGTGCCTAGCACCGGGTTTGGAACGCAGCCTTCACCTTACGCCTATTCTTCGTACAACGGAGGATTGGCACAATCTTTTCCTACCGCACAACAGGTAACAAAACATTATCATCATCAACAGCCTATAAATGCCCACTGCTGAGCAATGCCTCTTCTCACACTGAGAAGGTTTGAGCATTAGTCACCACGCTTGCTCATTACGGGTTGGCGATTCTTCACGTTCGTCAGTGGTATCCGGCGATCCTTCACCGTTTGTCAGTGGTATCTAAGGTTGCTATGGTACATTTTGAACCCGCACCCTCATGCATGAGAAGCGGGCTTAACTTCCGGGCCACCACGACACAACACAATAGTGATACACAAAACTTATGATACAAAAGAGTCTAAAAACTACTTTTTAATCGCGAAAATTTATGAACTTTAACTTATTAAACATTCTTTACCTTCTCACTGATATAAAGTAATATAAAATGTTATTCTTAGGACTACAGCAGCTATGCGGCAGGCTACGCGGACCACAATGTGGCCCAATACAGCGGATACTACGCTACACCTAGTTATTCTCCTTACGTAAGCTCGCCGAGCAGCAGCGGCAGTGCGGGACACACTTCATATCATTTAGGAGGAGCTTTATCAGGTAAAGATCAAAAATTGTTCCAGACAAAATAATTTAAAACTGTAAATTCTGAACGAAAACTTAAAATATATTTCCGAACGAAACCAATTGTAAAATGTTGCCATGTTATAATTATAGTAACACCACAAGAATAGGGAGATGTCCAACAACACATTTTAAAATTCGATATAAATACAGCTGTGGTTTAAATTGTTTTACTAATTGCTCAAACTTACTAATAATGGGTAATTTTACTATAGAATGTTTAAATGAGTGATTGAAAGAATACACATGTTTGAAATCATGAAATTAGAATAGATGTGAATTTACGAAACATGGTTCAGAACGGGACTTTTCAATTCAACGCTTGCAACCCGGCATGACAACGTCAGAACTCAAATCTGAAGTTTGACAGTGACACATAATGACATCAATCACATCATAAGACTTGTTGCTGTTGCCTCAGTTTAAATGTTTACAAAGTATTGTTTTAAAAACAAATGCCTTATATTTACAACAAAATAGATTAAACAATCTTATGTGTTCATATCAATCCGTCGTTAATAAAGACTGAAGATTCATTCCGTAAACAATAATCAGGGTTTTTGGTGCTCAAAATATGAATAAGGAGAACGAAAATTTTAACAAAAATAAGCGAAGGAAACTAGATGGAGACGCTTCGGAATCTCGTTACGATGATTCAGATTACTGGCCGGATACAGATAGTGATGATGGTACGAGTGTTTGAACTTTTAAATTAAGAATTGTGTTTGTTCGAAAAAGTTTTGAATGCAGTCCGCCAAAGTTACGAAGTGTAGTTGTTTTATAACCTTTCCTATTTTGTTCAATATAAAGTTTATACGAATGTATACAGGAATGTACCATGTCTGGAAATAGCTGTATTGAAGTGTGAATACTTATTATAATTACTATGTGCTTACTTTATCTATATAAGTAATTATGAAGTGTCTTAAATCTTCACTCCAGATACTTAATTTACACCCAAATAGGTACTTAAAGGCTACTCAAATTTTAAGTTGACGTTAAATATCGTGCCGTCTCTGTTACTTTAAAAAGAATTTATAGTGACAACTATATAGCGCAAGCTAAATTGTAGTGGCATTTGTTTATTAGATTTACTTGGTTTGTTGAACTTGAAGATAAAAGTTGTTATTTAGTATGAAATTAAATATAAATTTAATAAAAATTTTTACAAATACAATGAACATTGAGTACCTACAACTCTTCTCACACTATTTACTGTCTCTAAAAAACTCCTAAATCTTGTTGTACAGAATCACCATCATCAATGCTGCCATCAATAAATGACACAAGTCCGCTGTCTCCCATCAAAACAGAAGTACATGCAGCCAGTAGAAGATGTAGAGAGAATTCAGGGTGAGTTATGAGAATACAGCAAAATAATTATAAAAATGTAAATGAAACTCTGTGTTCTTGATTAGCTATCTGTGGACAGCAAGCCTGTACTACTCAATGATTGTGTGTGAAAAATTGTGGTGAACACATTGGACAAATTTTTTAAAAGTCAACAATCAAAGCATTTATTTTAATTAAACCATAATGTGGTACTTTTGAAACGTCAACAAATACAAAATAAATAATAGTCTTTCAGTCAGTCCGTTAGTGAAGCTAGGTGAATCTTGATGCTCATTCCAAAATGTAGATTCGAATGGAGAAGAATGATCAAGAAACTCCATTCGTTATTTCCTATTATTTGTTGAAATAATAGGAAAATATTGAAGCGGTAGCTTTTATTGTTGTTTCTCTTTTTACAAATCAATAACATAAGCAGTTGTTTTAATAATAACTAATATATGACCATATCACATTGTACTGGGACCGGTCTATCATTACTGACAGGACTATTTTAGCCAATAAACCTGACATAGTGGTGATAGACCGACATGTACGCTGCACGATGATAATTAATGTCACCATTCCCCATGACGAGCACCTTGTGAAAGCTGAGAAAGATAAACAAATAAAATATCTAGACTTAGCTCACGAGGTTGTCGACATGTGGAATGTGGATTCGGCTATCATTGTGCCGATAGTCGTGTCGGCCAATGGGTTAATCCCTAAAAGCCTCGACATCCATCTTAGGAGGCTGGCGTTAGGTGGATAGATCAAGGGCCTGATACAGAAGGCAGTTCTCCTAGGAACGGCACGTATCGTGAGGTTTCTGTCTCCGGAGCCCTAACCACGGGTAGCTTGGACCATGCTCCCGCTACTGGTCGGCTCCTATTTTTTATATTTTTAAATATATTTTTTTTATTTTGTAACTAGTATTTAAAAATGTAATTTATAGAGAATTTTAAATAAATATATGGACTAATAATAATATATTACATAAATAAACATTACACCTTTTATCCCCAGAGGATTACTCAGTGATGCAAATATACATAGTGAAACTCATTTGACCATTTGTTATAATTATGTCTCATATAATAGAGAGTACCACAAAACTGACCCAATTCTATATTTAAGTTTTACTGAAATATAAAAACCTGTGTTGGTACTGGGAATTAAAAGGTACGATGTATGTCTACCATAGTAAAGTATGATGTTATATTAGCGGCCCGTTGGCCGAGTGGTCGCAAGTGAAACTACCAGCCAAGGGGTCTCGGTATCGATTCCCGGCTCAGACAAAGTATTACTGGGTTTTTTCAAAAAAATCTCAGTAGTAGCATGGAGGTTGGAAATGTGCCTGGTATATGGCAATAGGGTCACCCCCTATTACATGGGCCTCATAACATAAAATAGTGAAAAGTGGGTGTACATACGTTGTACAGTGGCATTAAGTGCCGTAATGTGCACCTCTGCCTATCCGGGGATAAAAGGCGTGAAATTATGTATATTACGTGTATTTGTCTAACCTATGGGTATCGCCCATAATTTTATTATATTCCTACACCTCAGAACTAATAATTCTTTTATAAACTCCATTTAAAATTCACTTAATTCACTTAATTAATATATAAAACCTCCTACGTATAACAAATACTTTTCTAAAAACCGCATCTAAATCAGTTCAGCCAATGGCTAGATAATCACGTTCAAACATACATAACATACAGATAAAACTGAGAACCTCTCTTTTTTGAAAGTCGGTTAATAATCCCTTCTAATCTCCAGGGAAAGCACAGCCTCACGTTCCCGTGGTCGTGGCAGACGCAACACATCCTCGTCTCCAGCCCAACATGTACCGGAGCCGGCCACCGACAGAGTGTTCATCTGGGACCTGGACGAGACCATCATCATCTTCCATTCACTACTCACTGGGACTTATGCTACTAAGTACAATAAGGTTTGTTATAGATTTGTTTCCGAAAAATATAAATATTAAATAAATAATAATTCATGTACACACAAACGGTACAGAGGACAACACATAATATAAAATTTAAGTATGTACATAGGTGATAATATCTTCAATTTCTAAGTGGCTACTTGTGAGCTGATGTCCCCCAATTAGTTACAATAATTATATAGACAGTGTTAGTAGATTCATCATCAAGATACCGATACCACTATCTAAGACCCACCTTTGTAAATTGAGTTGACATTAACTTATGTCTTCATAGTTGAGGTGACAGCAAATTATAAGTAAGGTGTTTGTATAAAATCTGAGACAAATAATATACATACATAACCAAACGCCTGTCTCCCATGGGGTAGGCAGAGCTGCTACGATTCTTACATACCTCTTTCGCTTCATCAATAGTCATCAATCTTTTCAAGCATGCTCGTCGGTTAAGGGTACCTCTAATCTGGTCCTTTAATATACCGCAAAATAAATAATTTAAATATTGGTTTCCATTAATAACTTGATGTTTTATCTTTACATTTGTATAAGTTGCAAAATGTATGTTATTGTTAGGAGCAGATTTTTATGCAAGTAAAAGTAAAGCTAATTTTATTAATACTTTTTTCCAGGACACACAACAAATAGTTCAATTGGGATTTAGGATGGAAGAAATGATATTTAGTTTAGCAGATACACACTTCTTCTTCAATGACGTTGAGGTAAACTATTTTTAAAGTAGATCTATACATAGAGTATATATATAATTCTTCTGTGAGTGTGTATGTCACTGAACTTCTCTCAAACGACTGGACCGATTTTGATGAAATTTTTTGTGTATGTTCAAGGGGAACTGGGAATGGTTTAGATTCACAAATCAGCCCGGCAGATGGCGCTGCAGTCGATGTTTAGGTTATTTATCCTAAACAGCTGGACTAATTTGCATGAATTTTTGTTTATACATTCAAGTGGATATGCAGGACAACGTCTGTTGGGTCCGCTAGTATAATAATAAAACTGTAGAAGTGTAAATTCTGTACATTAAAAATGTTAAAAAAATAAATAATAAGGGTCCTCCTCCTTAGCTAGCATGACTGCTTCGCAAAAGGAGGAGACTGCATCTCAGTCTTCCTCGCTCCAAGTCATGACCCTGGGAACGCGGGTGATGCCGCTGGCAGAAGCTAATACAAAATATTTCTTTAACATGTTACCCTAGTACCTACTTGGCACAGTTATGCATAAATACATATTGCAATTGATTTATTTTCAAAATTATTTGCAACTGGAGCAAATTCGAAAATATGGAATTATGGGGCTTGTCAGCGATATATGTGTGCTGAATAAAATACGATTATAAATAAAATTTGTTTATATCTCTCATCAGGATTGTGACCAGGAGCACATAGACGCAGTAGCGGCAGACGATAACGGTCAAGATCTCTCCGCGTACAACTTCGCAGCGGACGGGTTCCACGCCGGCGCCGCTCCTAACACGGGCTTATGTGCGCCTGGTGTAAGAGGCGGCGTCGACTGGATGAGGAAACTCGCATTCAGATACAGAAAAATTAAGGATACGTACAATAATTATAGAAATAGGTGAGTTGGAATTGGAAGCAACAATACATAAACCTTGGAATGAGCAAATAGCTTCACTTTTAGTTTTTTATTGACGGTCAAAAGTGCCTTCGTTGTCTAATTGAAATAAATGATTTGGACTTTGACTTGACTAAAATCCTGACAGTAATTTTTTTTTTTTTGCAAAGATAGACAGAAATTTGTTAATACGGTCTGGTCTGCAGGATTACTAAAAAAGTGCCGATGAAACAAAGGATTTTAAATTTAAGTGCCTTTTTATCAACTAAAACTCGCGTTTTATTCACGTGAATATACTGAGAAAACTTCTACTAGTTTCGAGCCACAGAGGGAGTCTTCCTCTACTGCTACGTAGCCTGGGCGACATCGCCGCGACCGCGCACGCTGCTCATGAGGAAGAGCCCCACTGTGACTCGAAACTAATAGAGCTTTTCTCAGTATATTCACATGAGTAACCCGCGATTTTTAGTTAATATGTCTCACAATAGTAGTTATTATAGAAAATGTATAATCTTTCTTTCAACAGCGTCGGTGGTCTACTAGGTCCCGCTAAACGCGAGCAATGGTTACAACTACGCGCCGAGCTGGAACAGGCGACGGACAACTGGCTCACTCTCGCCTGCAAGTGTCTCAATATGATCAACTCCAGGTATGTGAGCTTAAAATGTACGTTCCTTCATCTATCCTTATGAGATGTCATGCAGACAAGTCAGATACATCATATTTTTATTATTATTGAATATTTTTATAATAACATTCTGTCTCTTCAATTTCGTGTAAAGGGTCCGCGTAGCTAGCGCCGTATTGTGCCAATGAGCGCAAGCAAAAATAAAAACTTTCCAATTGTCCCCCCCCCTCGAGGCTCCACACAGGGGTGCCCCCAGCAACGCTGTCATTTAGATTTTAATTGTAGCTTAGTTGTTCTGGCTGGGGGCCTTAACTTCTTGTTAGTGGTCACCGCAGGGTTTATCCAGTTAAGTAGTCAACAGCCTTTGCGTGCTGAACTACGAGTGGTCCTATCCAAAAAAAAAACAAATACATCGATTTTTTCCCGGGTAAAGCATGCGTTCATAGGTTGGCAGAAAGAAGGGAATTTTTTTGATATCTTTCCAGAAAACTTCCTTTGCCCTTTTCAGATTTTCACACAAATTACATTTTCAGAGAGATTAGTATTTTCTTCATAAGGGCCCCCAAAACAAATTTTTATACGGGGCTCTGCCACGGCATGCTACGCCACTGATAAAAAGGAGTCTTATTTGAGATCACTGTCTGTAATGCATTGTGCCTAGCTTGGCATTACATTACATTACAGACAGTGATGACATTACAGCCAAGGCATCTCCTATATAATTGTTGCGTGGAGTGGTGGTAGAGTCGCGATGGCCCGGAAGATGGGCATATTCCGGGCCATCGCGATCGCTTCTCGTGCGAGTGCGAAACCTACCTATAACAAATGTGACTCTTCCGAGCTTTCTAAGACTTTTTACTCACCACTGACCAACGGTGATGGAAAACATCGTGAGAATGAAACCTGGACTTATAATTTCTAATTATAAGTTTGACATCACCAACCTGCAATGAGCAAGTGTGGTGATTTTGGTCATGATGAAGAGGTTGATATTACGTTGATTATGGTGGTAATCAGTTTGTACGAAACTGAATTTAATTATTTATTCGTATATTTCTTTGTATTTACAGAGAGAACTGCGTGAACGTGCTGGTCACGACGACGCAGTTAGTGCCCGCGTTGGCGAAGGTTCTACTGTTTGGACTGGGGGGAGTCTTCCCCATAGAGAACATATACTCCGCTACTAAAACCGGTAAGTAATTTATACGTAGCTGTTACGGAAAAGGGGTAGAACAAACATACAAATCATTATCTTCTCTTCGTTGCGGGAACCAAGTTAGTTACCAAGTTATTCATGTCCCTGGGACGCGCCGGACTTCAGCGATCCGGTGTTTTCATGGTTGTATCTACTGTAGATGCTGGCTTACAGGAGTTGCAGCGGTTTTGGAAGGTTGTGGCGTACTTGTCCCAGTAAAAAAATACAAATCATTTGATGGTATGTGATCAGTGCTGCCCATCGACACCCGCAACACCAGAGCAGTTACATGTGCAATACCGGCCGTTTGCGGAGCAGATGGCATTGGGCCTTTCTTGGGAATTCGATTCTCCTCTTTGTTATTCATTTTTCTTTTAGATTTTTTTTAAATCAGTCGTTGAACCATCCATTAATCAAAACGTTGTATGCTTTTCACAAGCAACACATCTTACACCCACATGAAGATTATTTTACGTTGTAATATAAAGTAGGCACTTCCCACATGGGACTACCAAAGTGGCCCACCCCTTCGAGGATAAAAGGCGTGATGTTATGTATGTATGTAATATCCTCGTTGTCGTTTAATGGTCGTAGACTAAACCTCTAGTAGCACCTCACTGTCGCGGAGAACCTAACTGGTAACCGGGGCTCCGGCTTGACGTGCAGGAGAAGGAACGGGGTGGTTTTTAGTCAGTAAGAGTCTGACACTCCCTCCCGTCTCACCCAGGCGGGAGCAGTCATTCGATGATTTTCCCCCTTAAAAAAAGAGTAGCACTTCACTGAAGTTTTCGTATCTTACTGTCCATCCAACTATTAACTTGAACTTTCCGCTTTTCCAGGCAAAGAAACATGCTTCGAAAAAATAAAGCAGCGTTTCGGAGAGCGATGTACGTACGTCGTCATCGGTGACGGACAAGACGAGGAGGCGGCCGCCAAAGCAAAGAACTACCCATTCTGGAGGATATCCAGCCATTCAGACATCGCGGCCCTCTACAACGCGCTTGACATGGGCTTCTTATGATCTACTGGTACCCTGGTACTCGGGCTATACAAAACGGTTACTTTCGCGACATTTTCTACCCGAAAAGACATTATTTTTGCTATTTTCAGAGAGATATTAATTATTTTAATGATATTATTCTTCATTTTACTGAATGAAAAGGAAATAGAAATATGTATTTATTTAATTTCGGTCTAATATGGAATTTATGGAAGTTTTAAATACATTATTGTACTAAGATTCAACTTCCTATAGTCTGATGCTGTCCTGGTACTGCACAGATCTAAAAAATATTTTTGGCCATCAATAATTAATTACTTCAAGTACTAGATGAAAAATTGATAAAATTACAGAGCTTCCTTCCAAAAGCCAAATTTTTGATACTAAAACGCTGTTAGAAATACTGTTTCTGATTTATTTTATAGATGTCTATAAAAAGATGAAAATTGAAGAAATTTTTTAATATATAAAACGACAAAATTTTGAAATTTTGTCGTTTAAAAAAAGACACGACTATCTGAAACACTAGGCGGTGATATTCTAAGATTATACTTTGATTCCTACGTATCTAATGTACGGTGGCCAGCAGATAAACCTATACCTAATTTCTTTATTGCATTTTCAACTTTATTATTTATACATATATAAAGTCGAAAATGTAATGAATAAATTTGACAAATTCGAGTAGGCTGTAGTTGCTGGCCACTATACCGAGAACTACCCATGATACCTGTCATCAGGTAACGGAAAAACAGATTTGAGTACTTTGTTAATCAAAAACCAAGATGCGAGTTCAAAAGTAGGACAAATGAATCTCAGATGCGTCCAATATATTGAAATAGAATTTTAAACAATATGGAGACCTTTACAAAACGAATGTCGATTCTTAAACTATAATATTAGTTAGAAACAATTCATAGCTATATTATCAACGAAATATTTTTATTTATGACATATTATTATGCAAGTTGATAATTTTATTTTTTTAGTTCCATACATTTTATAAATATTTTGTGGGTCTCATTCTTCAGTCTTAATGTAGAGAAGTTTTGTACAGAGAGTGCATCACTAGAGGCGCTGGTGTCGCTTAAAGTCTATAACGAAAACGATTGGACTAATGAACCCATACTTCTCTAGCGCCATCTCTTGAGCGTATAATCGAAATCCTTCCTTAGATTATGTGCTTCAAAAAGTTTATACACACAACCCGCCCACAAAATGTATATAAAATGTACGTTCGTCGGTTAGTCCATAACATTTCATGGCTCCATAAAAGTACATTTTCATAAAAACATTAGTTTCGGAGCCAGTTATTTAAATATATTAATTATTTTAGTTTATAAAAGCTCAAAGTCAGCTCAAAATCTAATGAAACTAAAAGAAATAATATGTTTTTGTAAATATTTATTGAAAATAGTAGTGTCATAGTGTTTTGTAAGTCCATTCCTACTCTAAGTTTTATATAATCTTTACTATGTACAGAAAATTGAAGTAATTTTTAGGACAATGTATAGAATAAAATGTTCTTATTGTTTTCCGTTTCTGGACGTTCTTAAAAGGCTTGTGTTTAAAGCAAATTCAAGTAAAATTTGCCTGTTATTTCTTAATTCACATTATTAAAATTGGAAGAATGACTAAGTATATGCTAATATGTGCGAATTGTTTCTATTTTTATGGGAATGCTATTTACAGTTATTTTTTTATCACTGATATAAAAACAATACTTTAAGTTGATTGACAAACATACAAGTAAAGTTAAATAGAGATAGCTTTTAACAATTTAGAGTTGATAATTATGTTTTTCGGCTGCCTCACGTTATTATTTGACGAGGAAATCGACTAGTTCTAAGCCATACTAGAGAATATATTCATGAGCAGCATCCCGCGACGCGGCGACTGTAGCAGGGCGATAGTAAGTTTGCCGAAAAACATAGTAATACATTTTTTATGTCTCCCGAAAGTAATAATATTAATTTAAAATTGCTTATAATGATATACCTTTATACCCAGGGTGGATGGAAAATCCTCATATCAATTACATGAAGACAAACATAATTAAGGGTGGGAGAGCTTCGGCTCCACCGGAGTGATACTACGGCCTCACAGAAAACCGACAAGAAGCAACGTTTGTTTCGTCGTGAGAGTCAGGTTACCGGAGGCCCAATTACCCTCCCCTTTCCTGAATCCCCAACGATTCTCAAACTCCTAATCCCTAAAAGGCCGGTAACGCACTTGTAACGCCTCTGGTGTTCCAGGTGTCCATGGGTGACGCCGATTGCTTACCATCAGGTGATCCGTCTGCTCGTTTACCGGCTTATGCCATAAATAATAATATGAATTATATAATAATCTGAACTACAGGTTTTAAGACGTCCTCCACATTTTGTAAAACAAAATTGTTCCTCTTACTCTAAGCACAATTTATTTAATGTCTGTTTTGGAACTGCCACAAGACCTCTGTATCTTTGCATCTATGCTATCTGTACAACTAAACGCCAAGACTTCATTTTACGAGAAACGTAGCAATATTTTTGAATGTTATTTGAAAGAAATAGATGAAATTGTAAATAAAAATCTAAATTTTAGATTTAAAATAGCGTATTAATCTAGTTCGAAAGTTATTATTATTCAATTTGTAAATAAAATTATATTATTTGACAATTTACTTTCGTTGTTTTACTTTTTTGGTGAGATCCCCTTTTTATTTGATGAAAAAAAAAAAAAATTTGTGCAGCCTGTATAAAAAAGTTCAGAAGCAAAAAATGTTGTTTTTTTTTTTATTTTTTCTTCTATAGCAAAAAATGTTATTCTACAGTATACCATTTCATGCAGTGGCAACTCTAGACAACTGTCAATTCGTTGCTAAGCAACGGCAAACATTAGTTTTGTAAACAATACATAAGTGCGTCGACATAAAAAATAGTTTTTAAATACAAAATGAAGGCAATCGATACGATATTGTTTGATGTGTCTAAAAATGAACTGTTTAAGATTAATGAGAACTATAAGATGCTGCATAGAAAGCTGAAGACAACTTGGAAAGTTATGATGTGGGTTGTATTCACATGTTTTAATATTAATTTATAGAATCTGCGTACTTAGAGTAATTCTTATTGCCTATTGTTATGCAATACGAGAATCTTATGTAGAAAATTCATAGCTCTAACTCAAGCTACCCTTGCCACGGTCAGTTTATGGATGGGAAGGAAATAATAATCCAAACAGGACACACATTTAATGTTAACTATGTACAATAGGTATCATCAGTAACACGCAGGTACCTACCTAGTTGTAGCCATATACACTGCCTACTTTATTTTTTTAGGATTATAACATAAGTTGCATATTTTAATTCCTCTATAGGAACAAACACCATAGGATCTCTAGATTTTTAGATATTGCAAGATTTTCAAATGATTTGGGTGCTTACTGTTGAAACCAATCTCAATGTCAATGCAATTTCAATCCAATAAAATCTCAATAATTATTCTTCAATGTCAAAACTATGCAACCCCTAGCGTAGCTGTTAAAAAAGCATTCAGAATACGGAATTTATAGATAATCTAAATACCATTTACTTCATTCAATTTCCACGCAATATGGATGCAAGTGGCGCTAGTATTGCAAATAAGACTGTACAACATTTGTAAAATACTACCAGTGCATACCAAAGTAGAATACCTTATAGCTATGGAGCAGTACAATACAAGTAAATATATGGAACCTGTAACACATAGTTATCATAACTAGGAAGGCTGCACAGGGTAAATTTGTAATACCAAAGGTTAGAAATTACTATGGGAAAAGGACTAGGCAATATTTGACCCCATTAATTTATAATAAAGTATCTTTCATAAGAAATAATAATGGTAACCTAAGTACATTATCTTTAAAAAAAAAGACTAAAGAAGGAATTTTTAAATATGTTAGATACATAAGTATTAAAAAAAAAAAAGTTAATTGTTCTAGACATAAAAAAAAACTAAAGATAATATGTATTCATTAACAGTATAGTATTTATATAGATTAATAGTAGTTATAAGTAACTTTATTGTATAATATAAGAGCGCCACTATCGCCAACAAACTGTTATACAGTTTGGCGATTTTTGATGTATTAGCTAATTTATGTATATTTTTTGTGAATAAATACGTTAAAAAAAAAAAAAGAAGTACGAAATTTCACAATACCAATGTCGATCGATCGGAATTGGATTCAAGAGTAAGCCCCCAGGTTTAAATAAGACTCGTCTTATGCCACCATATTAAAATTGTTGGTACATATTTGTCAACGTATGTAATTTACCTACGTTTGAGATTTTGTAAGGGCCCACTTCGCCCAAAGTTATTTCTAAGCTATCCAGCAATCAGTCAATATGTCTTTACAAGGGGTTACGAAAATATCTTTATTTCTAGCTAGGACAGATTTTTAGACATCGCAAGATTTTCGAAAAAATACTAAAACCTAGGTACATACATAACCTGATTTTTTTATGTAATGCGCTCAACTCCCTGCCTAAAAAGCACTAGGCTTACAGAAACCGCGAAGAGATATCAAGCAATGTGCTGGAAGATGTCAAGATCCTGGTAGTGGCTGGTCCTCAGAATGCGTTTACTGATGATGAGCTATCGTCTCTCAAACATATGGTGGAGAGAGGAGACTCCGTGCTGGTAGCCATGTCTGATGGAGGAGAGGAACGGACCAATACTAATATTAATTTCTTTTTAGAGGAGTTTGGAATTGTCGTAAATAATGGTGAGTAATATTAATAATAACTTCAGCTATCTTTTTACATCACATGTTCGGTAATTGCCAACACTCAAAAGGTCTTTAGCATCTGCTATAATCCTGAAACTCCTCCTAATCCTGCCAGCCTAGTAGATAACATGCTTGTTTTTTAAGCCTTAAAACCTCTCAATATCTTCCAGATTGCGTGGTACGAGCCAAATACCACAAGTTCTACCACCCTAAAGAGTGTCACATCTCCAACGGTATACTGAACCGAGCCGTCACCAAGTACCTGATGAAGATGCCCAACTATAGCAGCGAGTCTGATGACTTTCTGTAAGCCTCTTTTTGTACTTTATCAACCTAAAATATTTTTTATTTCTCAATAGGTACTTCTTTGTTAAGCTCCTAGTACATTTCCAGAATTCAAGCTATGTGGCAGTAAAAATATACCTATTATCTATGCGTTTCAGAGAAGAACCAGCCACTCCAAACTTCGTGTACCCGTATGGAGCCACAATGACGGTGAAAAAGCCAGCAGCAGCCATTTTGTCCAGTAGTGACGTATGTTATCCTGTTAAAAGACCAGTGGCTGCGTTATATGTTTCTGAGAAGACTGGAGGTATGATACACTAGTCGTTGTCTACATCATATTTTGATAAAAAAGTCGTAGGTATAAGAAGCATGTCGTGGTGGCCCGGAGGTTTATGACGCCGGCTTCTCAGCCATAGTGCGGGTTCGAAACCTACCAATAGCAAGTACCCATGTGGCCTTTTCGGAGTATATGTACTTTCTAAGTTGTTCTAGACACCACCGACAAACAGTGAAGAAAAACATCGTGAGGAAACATGGGCTTATAATTTCTAATTATAAGTTTGTAATCGCCTTCCAGCATTGAGCAAGCGTGGTGATTGGTGCTCAAATCTTCTCCATGTGAGGCTTTGCTCAGCAGTGGGCACTTATAGGCTGTTGATGATGATGATGATGATGATAAAAACTATCCCATTACATATGTACCTTCTTTAATAGTTCAACGTGCATGAACAATAAGTAAATAGAAGAAGCGGTTATTGGCTAATAAAAAAAATTATGGACATTTTTGGCGTTTCAAGATAACATAACATAACATCACGCCTTTTATCCCAGAAGGGGTACGCAGAGGTGCACATTACGGCAGTTAATGTCGGTGTACAATGTAACACCCACTTTTCACTATTTGTGTTATTATTCGCATGTTATAGGGGGTGAGCCTATTGCCATATACCAGGCACAATTCCAGACTCCGTGCTACTACTGAGAATTTCTTAAAAAAACTCTGCCCGACCCGGGAATCGAACCCGAGACCCCTTACCCGGCAGTCGCACTTGCGACCACTCGCCAACGAGGCAGTCACTTTTCGTTTCGTTTTAAGATATTAAACTGAAATTGTGAATCTCGAAACTATATTTTATGTTTTCCAGGTAAACTGTTTGTGATAGGTTCAGGACACTTCTTCGCGGACCAGTACCTCGAGAGTGAGTGCAATGACCTGATAAGGGAGATGATATTCAACTATCTCGGAGGCGTGACTGACCTGCATCTCAACCCAGTTGACGTCGAGGATCCTGACGTAAGATGTACCTCAATCCTAATTGTTATTATTGTGTTCCTATTTATTTAGCAGAATAGGCTTGTCAAATGCCCGCTTTCGGAGATCACGTGCCAATTAATAAACCATTTGAAAATCGAATAGGTATCTTGTAACTGCCTCGTTGGCTGAGTGGTTAAAGTGGACTGTCAGGCAAGAGGTCTCGGGTTCGCTTCCCGGGTCGGCCAAATATTACTGGGTTTTTTAAGAAAATCTCAGTAGTTGCACGGAGTGCGAAAATGTTCCCGGTATATGACAATAGGCTCACCCCCTATTAAATGCGACTCATAACATAAATAGTGAAAAGTGGGTGTTACATTGTACAGTGGCATCTTTGCCTATCCCATTCGGGGATAAAAGGCGTGATGTTATGTTATGTGACCTTTTATTTAGCATAGTTTTTAAACTGATGAGGTGGATTCGCGTGTCTATTCAAATATTTATTTAGAACAGAGACTGTTATAGAGAGATATCTTTTGCAGAAAAGTGAGAAAGGTATCTCTGTTTCTAGATAAACGAGTACCGCACCCTAGGCGACATGATGTGGCTGAGCACTATCCCTCTCCCAGAGCCCGCCACCGCGCCCCCGCCGCGACTAACTCCTCTACATCCACACGCACTCTTCACTTGGAGACTGTTCTCTTTGAATCTGGCTCAGTGTAAGTTTATTCCTATTTCTGAGTAGGTACTGCAGGTAATGACGCAATGGTATTTAATCAGTACATCAAACCACCAGAATCAACTGATGATGGTAAGAAATCCGCGCTTTACATGGACACTCGCAACACCTAGATG